AAAGTTTCAACATTAGTGAATGAGTAAGACTGCATGTAGACACAGAACATTTTATAGACTTTTGTTTAATCTGGTTTAATACTTGGCTTACATATTTCACTGAACCCAGAATAACAGAATCCTATTATTACATTATCCTTGAGTTAACAGAGAAAGAAATGAGGAGCCATTCTGTCAATAGAAACATTGTAATTACTATTCCTCCTCTTCAATTGAGAGAAAGTCTTGAATGAAAATGCAAAGATTTATAAAATTATTTTATGAAAGAAAAAGAATTTCTTAGAATAGTCATTCATTTGGTTATTAATGGCCCACTTTTTGGTGATTTCACTGGCTTATCATGAATGACTGTTAGCAGAATCTTTGTTTTTTTTAATCATTTCACTACAAGCAAGGCAATAAAGCCACTATTATGGAGAGAGAACAATAAAAGAACAAGAAATAAGAAGACACAAGATAATGATTAACATTGCATTTAAATTTTTCAAGATCAAAGGTGACTGGAAAAGAAGACAGAAGAGAGTTTCACAAACGAGAGAAGAAACTGTTAGCATAGAACTTCCGGTTACATCTCGCCACTTCAACGAGACCTTGCCACAAATCCAGTACTGCATAATTCATAAAGTCTTGGTACCATAGAAGGAAGGTCATCATAACAATTACCATGAAAGTATTTATAGAAAAGGCACAGAAAAGCTACAGTATGGTGATGGGAATGTGACTGAAGCTGAGATGCCAGGTCAGGAGCAATAATATTGCAGATTTTTGGATTTTATCAAGAATCTCTATATACATAAACTGAGCAGCAATATTCAAAACAAGGAGGAATGAAAGATTCTGACAAAAAAAAAAAAAAAAAATTGTCTAGCACCACATAGTGAATCAACTTTCCTAGCTGCAGACCTATCATTAGGAAAACGTCCTTTACAAAGACCATTAAGAAAGTTTTCATTTCTTTTATGATAATTGTTGTTCTAAACCTTCTCTTAAGTAAATATTTGTTTAATTGTAGTGAACTAGTCAGAAAAGGCAAAACAAATATTTAAATCATAAAAAAAAATCCTAGATAAACAATTTTGAGTTGTAGACAGAATTTAAATTTGTTTTTGTTTCATCTGTAGTATAAACTATTAATATTATCAGGTTATATGAAAAATGAAAAGTTTCAGTTTGTGAAGAAATCAGTACAAAAGTAACATTTTTTTTTTCAAAGAGAAATAATTCCACGACAACCATTGATTCTCAACCACAGTGCCATGACACACTAGTGTATTGCACGATCCTCTTAAGTGTGTCGCAAAATATTATCACAACATACATATGTGTGTGTATGAGCACGCACAGAATTAGTAATGGTACAGCGTTAATATTTGAATAAATGAATAGTTGAATAGAACCATTGAAATAAACTATGTTCATATTTGTGTGTGTAAATCTATGGTTTTATTTCATAACTTTTCAAGATCAAAGTTGACAGGGAAGCAAAAAGCTGGAAGTAAGTTCAACAAGTGAGAAGTGTGATAGAAGAAACTATTAGCATAGAACTTATGGTTACATCTAACCATTGCAACTGTAAAATTTTGAGACCTAGTTGCCAATCTAGTACTGCGCTTAAATTCATAAAGTCTAGGCACCAAAGAGGAAAGTAATATTTATTTTCTAACACTCAGTAACCGCTTGTACTTTAGTGGTTTTATTGTTTTACTTGGGATGAAACGACTATAAAAAAAAAAAAACACTTCACTTAGGAAAATGTCACCCAAACTGATTTATCATTCATTTTCAATTCCTTAGAGATTCAAAGATAATTGACTAAACTGCTTCTGAACTGTGTTTGGTATTTCTGCAAATATTCGCCTGATCAAGACACATTTCATTTTTTTTTCTTTGTTGCAGCAGTTTCCTTTTCCATCATTATTAAACTAATTGATATTTAAAAAAGTGAGACTTTTAAATAATCTTAGTTTATATCAAATTATATGTCATTTGAAATCTTTTAGAATTTATTAAGATTTATTTCTGAAATTCTGATCTAGCGAAATGTATTTCTAAACCCATTTTTGAAATAACCAGTCTTCGTCTTTTAATTAATTAAATTTAGCTAGTCACAATTACTGACCCAAACATACCACAGTATTCCTTACACTAAAACAACACATTCTTACTTACCATTCTTTACAGCCACCACAATACCTCATAGTCTCTATGAAGTCCTAACTAGTACCAATATGTACAATTTGTCTTGCTATAACTAAACAAAAAAGTTCATCAGTACAATTACCATGAAAGTATTTATAGCAAAATCACAGGGAAGCTATGTCACAGCACAGTGGGTGAATGACTGAAACCGAGATGCCATGTCAAGCACTAATAACATTGAAGATTCTTCTTTAGATTTTATCAAGAATAGGAGCACCAGAGCAGATATGGCAGCAATATTTAAAGCATGGATGAATAGTAGACTTACAAACATATAGATTCTGTCGAGAAAAATTGTCTCTTTAGTTCGACACAGAGAAACAACTTATCTAGCTGCAGACTTAGCAATTGATTCAATATACTTTTTCTTTTCACTTATCAGAGGAAAACGTTAGTCCAAGGAAGGAAAAGGCTATTTTATTTAGTAATGAAAAAAATAAAAATAAACTAATCATTTTTTATCTGAATTAAAATTTATGTTTTTTTTTTTTATTATTATTATTATTTTCTTTTCCACATTTTTGCTTTCCCACCGTTTAGGAAGAGTATGTGTTACTGTTTAAATGTTTATTAGTTTTTTTGTTGTATTTTTTTTAAATTTAAAAAAATCTATTGTGGGTTCAACGTTAAAAAAGAAAGTAATTTGTCAAGAGACGGCAGAAAATATAAAGAACCAACTTACCCAGATATGTGGCCGTGGGTGTGGGTAAAAAAATATATAAGTAAAAAACAAAATATATGTTAAAAAAAAAATAAAATAAAATAAAGACAATTTCTATTTTTTTTTTTTCGATTCATCAAGTTTATTTTTTTGGCATCGGGAGAGTTTTTTTTTTTTTTTAAAGAGACGACGAGTAAAAAAATGAATGCCGAGTGAAATGGCTCTACTTTTTTAACCATTTTACTTTAATAAGCGAGAAACAGGCGATTAAAAACAATCATCGCCTTCTTTTTCTCTTCAAGAAAAGAAAACAATGAATATTATTAATATTTAAAAAAAAAGAAAAGTAGTTTATTTTCCCAGCAAGTTGATTTGTTTGAAATTTCATTGCCTGATACAAAAAAAATAAAAAATAAGTTTATGCTTTGATGTGATTTTAGACGAAAATAAAAAAAAGTGTCTCGCCCAATTTTTCTGCGGTTGTTAAAAATGAAATAATAATAATAATCAGTTAAATAAACAAAAAATTTGTTTTGTTTTTCAACTACGCAGAAAAATCGACAAATCAACGACGTTTTTAGCATTTTTGTTTTGACATATCAACAATTATAAACATTTTTTTGCATCGACAAAAAAAAAAAAAAACGATATAAAATAAATAAAAAACAATTCTGAAAAAGAATTTAACAAAACGAAAGCCACCATAAAAAGTCTGAATAAAAAATAATTTTAAAAAAAAAGAAGAAAAAAGTGATAAGAAACTGGATTAAATTCTTAATTTAACTAAAAAGCGATGGTTAACAACTAACAAGTCTCAAACCATTGTTAGTGAGTTTTACTTTTTTTGTTTCATTGAATTGTACCAAGTTTTAGGTTAAAGGAGCTTTTAAATGTCAATGACTGTTCTTCATTATTGAATGAAATATAAACTTTTAGTCGTTTAACAAATTACCTACTTTTTATTTTTAACTTAAATCCTATTTAAATACACTTTCGTGTATTTTTTGCTGTATCCAGAAAAATTTAGGCTTCTTCTTAACCTACGATTAAGAAGTGTTTTTATTGAACAAAAACAAATAAAAAAAAATACCCACACGTAGTCATGTAGTAAAAATGGTGGTTTTCTTCAACGATGGCAAAAAATAAGAGAGTTTTAAAGAAATGAAACATTTAAATCTTTACGGAAATTAATTATGTATAAAAAAAAAAAAAGGAAAGATACGTAAATTTTTTAAAAAAAAGTAGGTAAAATAAAAATTGTTTTTCGTTCGAATTTATTTTGTTAAATAAATATTTTTAATCCCACTTAAAAAGTGGGATTAAAAATATTTATTTAATTATTTTAAATTGCTTAATTATTTAATTATTTTAATTGTCTAATTAATTGTTTATTATCTATTTAGTGGGATTTAAAAATGTTTATTTGACACAAAGTTTATTTGGGATGAAAAATAAATAACGAATGTTTTTGTTATTTCGAAGATTTGTTTTGTAGACATTTTCATTTTACAAAAATCGGTCGGTGGAAAGTGCATTCAATTTTTTTAAATTGTTGATTAGACAGCATTTTTTGTTTTCAAAAACTTAAACTGACTAATTAGAAACTAAAAATAACAGACACCATTTTTAAAAAAAATCATTAAGCGAAAAAAAACAAAGTAATAATTCATTTCAGACATTTTTATTTTTTAATTGTTACGTGATCAAAAAAAAAAATACGGAAACGAAATAAAATATAATTTATTGTCGTTAGTAAATAGAAATGATTCTAAAAAAGAAATTGCGAAGTTTAAAGGGTGGAGTTAAAATGGAAAAAGATAAAAACGGTCACGTCGGTGTGAAGCGATCTCTGATTGACCAGAGTTCGATCCTCACTGAATGCCTATTTACTTGTGCCCGAAAATTAAGGTTAGTAAGTTAAAATGATTCACAAAAAGAAATGTCGAAGTTTAAAAAAAAATGGGTGGAGTTAATGGAAAAAGATAAATATAAATAAACGGTCGCCTCAGCGTGGAGCGAGCGATCACTTGTCTCAATGACCAGAGATCGATCCTCGCTGAGGGCCCATTACTTGTGGCCGAAAATTAAGGTTAGTAAATAGCATTAATGATACTAAAAAATAAATAAATAAAATACTCACGGGTTTATTAGGGTAGACGTCAGCCAAATGTTTCTTAAGATTCTTGACAGTCCACCCAAGCATACAAACAACTGTAATGTCAGCAATTCTTTGATTTGGAGCTTTCACCACCAAAGTGATTGGCGTGCTGTCTGTTGGAAGGTCCATGATATAAAAAAAGGGGGAAAATCCTCTCCTCCTCCTGTAAAACCCGATTTGTGTGTCTGGGATAAAGTTCAATCAGGCTGCTTCTTCGGCAAGAGCCGCAGAAAAATAACTATGGGGGTGTGTAGAGATAGAAAAAAATCTGTTTTGTGTCAAGAGGTGGGGGAAAATGGATATGACGAGGAATTACGATACAAATAACAATGAAGGGTTGTTGTGGCGGATGTCTTTCCGGTTGTGCTGTGCGTTTTTCAACCAGACAAAAAAAATCACATAGGCACGTAAGACCCACGTATGACGCCAAACTAATCTATTTATATCCATACATTACGTACGATGTATGTATGTGACTGACTGTACATTATCGTCATTGATTGTCCCTCGTCTGACGGCGGATGTCGTGGCAGATTGTAAAGGAAAATTTCAAGACAGGGTAGGAGCAGATAACTCTAAGAGAAAGAGTAGGAGATAGAATTTACGACATGGGAGGAGGAAAAGAAGAGGGAGGAGGAAGAAATCAACTCCGACTGTCTTTAAAAAGTTAGATTTCTCAGCTCGATTTGTTTTAAGAAAAGTTAATTTTTTTTTGTTTTGCTTTAATAATCACTCAACTTTATATCAATTTTGAATACGCCGTCCGTTATTAATTCTAATTATCCAGTTAGTAAATTCCGATCAAGAACAGTTATTCCCCTTGGTGTTTACGTGTAGCAGATTATTTAGAAAAATAAAGACTGCCCGTTATATTCAAGCTTTGGCGAAATAAAATAAAACACAAATTCTAAAAAAGTAAATTAACAGAGACAACTAAAATGTTAACGTAAACAAATTAATTTGCTTAAATTTGTGTAAAAAAATCTAATTAGCTACACTCTCAATTTTGCATAGTGACAGTCACAGAGTGACAGAAAAATAGCCTAGGATTTTCTCTAAAAAGTAACTTTTTTAAAGTTATCTGACACTTGCATTTCTACCCATCCTTTCATTTAGTGAGAAAGAATTATTAGGCTCTCTTTAATTTCTTTTCACTCTTCCTTCATCTACACGATGGTTGGCCTTCCTTGTTTGTTTGTTTTTTCTCCCCTACTATTCAAAAGACTTAGCACCCTGTCCATAGTTAGACTACCTCCTCCTCTTGTGTCTACCAAATTGAAGTAACAATTGGCTATAGTGACGTCATAAGGGCAACTGAAAAGGAAACGGAAACAAGTATGATGACACATCTGCAGCAAATAGATTCTCGCTTTTTCATTGGCTAACACCAACAAACGCTGACGAACTCCGCATTGATTGGCAGTTTATTCTTGCAGATAAATTATATCTGTTGTCATGGCAGCAGTTGTTTGGGTTTTATTTTTTTAAAGCAAAACTTCTTCAACTTTAAATTATAAAAGATTAAAAAACGCTAACGTAATTCCAATAAACAAGTTTTAATAAAGACATTCCTACAATAAATTAGGATGGTCGTACAAAAACAAGAAAAATTCCAGTTTACTTCTTTATCTTTAATTTCAATTTACTAAGTTGGTCAAATTAATGAATTAATTAAATTTTTTTAATAATGTCATTTTTTCTGAATTTTTCATGCTTTTAATTATAGCTATTAACTAGAGACTATCCAGATGCTTTCCTTAAAAAAATAAAATTTCTATTTCATTTATTTATTTATCTCTATCTATAAAAGGCAGGATGTGTGTGTGTGTGTGTGTGTGTGTAATGAATGCACAGCCGCAATTTTTGACGGATTTGCACCAAAATTTACATGCACATGCTCCAAGTTAGCAGGAAGGCCAAGACCAACCTTGCATTTCCCAACTCCCATCGAAAGTGAAAATAATCGATTTTTTCATGCTTCTATGGCAGTTTTCATGTAGTTTGCGGCCATTTTGTACTAGCCAGAGTGAGAACCAATAGCTGGCTACCACGAATAGGCAGGAAGATTCTATTGGCCAGCGTGGGAGCCAACAGCTGACTGACACGAATGTTGACTAGCATGCTAGCATGCAAAAAAAAATCGATAGCTGCATTTGTCACAAGTGGGAAAAATTTAAATCTGCATGGCACTTTACTCCAATTGGCTCATTCACTTGCTTAAACTCAACGTTGATTCTGATTCCACAAAACTGGGTTGGGTGTGAAAAAGTATTTGTTGTTAACATTCTTTTTTTTCATTCGGTTTTTCCAGTAACGAGTTCTTTTTTTTGTTCTGATTGTTTTGTGTTCATTTTGTTTAGTTCTCTTTTTTTCATAACAGATTTAATGTTTAGTATAGAGCTTAGAAAAAATTTGCAGTGTGAGATAGGCAAGAAGTAAGGCATGTAGCAACATCAGCATGGCAAAGGGCACTCCTTTAAAAATAAAGGAAGGGCAAAAATATTTTAAGTCAAGTGATAGTGATTACTGTATGAGTCATACAATTTTTGAATCAAGCACGGGCAATGCCGGGCCATGCCGCTAGTTTATTTATAATAGTTGCATAGATTTAGTTAACAGATTGCGACATCTATCAGAATGATGAAATATAAATTTTTATTATTGCATTATTCCAAAATTTTAACACATCAGCAGATAGCTATTAATGTCAACAACTGAGCACAAATAGTTATTAATTTAAAAAATTAGTAATTAATGTATAATATTATGCATAATTACATATACAAGAATGTTGTTTTTGATAAAAAATAAAATATAAAATTAAAAATATTTAATAAATATGTAAAAATATGCATATACTGTCAAAAATTCCTTTTTCCACAATATAGCTATTTGTGCTGTGTTATAATGCTTATTACCTAAACAATAATAATACTGAATAAATTTTTTTTAAACATTAAAGCATATTTAATTACATCTCCCTAATAACTGTTACAAACTGTACAAAAAAAAACAAAAATACATGAATATTATTGTTGAAGCTTAAATAAGCATGGAATAATACAACACAAAATGTACGTTAACAAAATGTATTGAAACAAAGAATAGGTACACAATATTTACAGTTAGTTTGGTATATTCTTGGGAAGACTGTTCCTGTATAATGGGTTGACTAAATCGCAGTCGGGCAGAGTCTCTGGATTCAATTTCTTAATCTCTACTATCTTCCCGTCTTCCGGTACCAACCCATATTTATATGGTCGGTAGTCCGCTTATGTAAATTAGGTGTATCATACACAACAATTATTTATCTCAGAATGTTTTAAGTGAAGAATGACCATTACCATACATATGCTTTATTATTTGAATCAGCATGGGGTTCTTAGTGGTACTCATAATGTTTCAGTTGTGGTACGCTCTTGTGCTGATCTATATTGCACATACATACATACATACATACATACATGCATACACTAATGCAAATCACATACAACGACAAGTATTCATTGGTTAATAAATCACCACTACGTTATTATAGACAATTTACAAATCACAGCAATGCAACAATTTTGTAATCGCTCTATTTTCATGTAGTCAATTTTGTGCACTTTTGGGAGAAATGGATCACAGAAGCTTTTTTGAGTCTCCTCAAAACTCGCTCGCTGATTGATCAATGCCAACCAATCAGATCAACTGCACATAAAGAGTAACTTTTCCCACACAGTGGTCTGGAGCTTATAGTCACTTATATAAGCAAGAATTTTTCTTAGCTAATTAGTGAGAATTCAGCTGCCAAATGAATCCATGACAGTGGAAACCATGCGCCAAACTTCTCACTCACACACACCACTCACATGCTGAACATTCCTTATACACTCACATAATCTTTTCTTACACAGCAAAATCTTCTGAGAACAGTCATTATAAGAAACTCTCATAAACATTCTTCCAGTGAACTTTGGAATACTAAAAATACAGTTAAAGAGAGACAACTCTTGTTTTATTCAACCTTTCTTTCATATCGTTGTTTGATATTGTACATCTTGTTAAATACATATTTTATGTGTAACGATGTCTTTTGCTTATCCTTTTCCACGTCAGTCTTGTTTCCTAATCTAAAGTTAAATTAATGTGGTGAAGTCTGCCACACTCTTGTCTTCTTCAGTTCTCTTTTGTCTTGTCTTGTCCTATGAAACTGGTGAGTATTAATTGATATCATTCAAGCAATTTATTTATTCAATCTAACACAAATGGATTAAATAAAGGGTTCTGTTAAAAATTCCAAGTAGGTTACTGGATATGACAGGCCAGAAAAAAAAGGTCAGAGGCTACAACAGTCAAATGTTATGGGTATAACTATCAAGCTGAGCATCTATATTGGGTTATTAGTTATAGTGAAGTGCATGAGTGTTGAAACAGATTAGTTTGATTTGGCCTTGTTAGTTAGATAGCCCACCATAAGAGGGGTATACAACAAGAAAATCAAATTGTAAAGTGAAACAACAAATTAATATACATATAAATCAATTACGGTCTCTACAAATAAAATCAATGTATTTTGGTTGATACAAGGTCGTCAAAATGTTCATAGTAGTCCTTGCAAGAATGAGTTTATGTGTATGTAGGCAGAAACGTATGTGTGGATGTATGTATGTATGAGCATTATCGTAGGGTAGGAATGTCTTTGAAGTAATCGCTCGGTCTTAAAATGTTCCGTTCGTTTATCAAGTATAAAAGAGGTGAGGGAGAAACGTAGAGATTATAATAACGATCGCTTGACGTTTGTCAAGGGACGTGTCAATACGCTCATCTCCTTTTCTCGGGTGACAGGCAAACTTGCCCATCTTTTATTTTGTTTGTGGGGCTTGAAAAGGTCATTTGGGAATTCACTCCTAGATATGATTCAGGCCTTTCCATTGAATGACAAACAAACTTCACGTCAGCTCATGAAAAGGTTTGTAAAAGAATTTGTTTCTGAGAATTGAAGATTATTTGAATTTTGTTTTTAAATGTTTCCTAGTTTTCTATTGGCCGAAAAACATTTCACATCAAGGGGTTTTGTTTTGGATTCGCTTTTGTATGTGTTAAGCAAAGTTTGTAAATTCGAGTCTTTTTAATTTCTAACAAAA